ACTCTCTAATTTGAAGCTGAATTGTATTCTCTCGTTTTTCTGTGAAGCCTTTCCTTTTAAAACACCAGGATCCTGCTGCACTCTGAAGTAGCCTCAGTGGCAGGAGAAGAGCAGTGTGTAATTTGCTGAGCAGCTAATAATGTATAACCCAAGGGTCTGGCCCCAAGGGCAAGGAGCCACTGATCCTGACTTCAAACATTGTCCTCTGCAGCAGCCCTGATGCTGGGGAGTCATTAAGGGTGGGAACAGAACCAAAAGGCTCCAGCTCTTTCTCCCACACTCAAAAGCAGTGCAAGGGGTGGCTTGGGAGATCTTCCTCTGGGTGGAAATAGCAGCAAGTTGTCTTTTCCAGGCTTTCCTCAAAGGAGAGGGGAGCATTTTCCAGGTGTTAATTTAAGGGACTGCAGGCTGCGAGGGGGAAGAGGGGCTGTTAGCACTTTGCAGCTGTGAAAAGAAAGTCACATCTTTCCATCCCTACAACCCTGCCAGGGGTGTACAGGTGATCTGACAGCACAGAGTGAATTTGTTGTGCTGCTGAATGCTGGCATGAAGGCAAAGTGATCATCCCCAGGGCCATACAGGCTCCACAATGAAGAGCAAAGGGGAGTTCCAGCTCCCTCTGCTACAACCAAGGATGGTTTGCCACCAGCAGTGGGTAGTGCTGATTTATTCAAGGAGGAGGGAGAATATCTGCTTTTCTTGGAAAGGATTTTCCATTGGACTTGTATACAGGCTCTGCTTAGCCCAAAGGATGTTCTTGAACTCTAGGGCAGTCAAAAGGCTGAGAATACCTTGTGCTTTGCCCCCTGGCTCTACTCAAGGTAGAACTCTGGTGGGCTGGGAAAGGGCTGTGGGTCTCTGCTCAGGGTACCAGAAGGGATGAATCCACCCTTTAACCACCAAAACATGCTGCACCCTTAAAAATGCTTTTGGAAGAGCATTGCTGAAGCAATTATTTTTTCCTTCTTACTGTAAAAACTTTGGCTTTACCCTTCTTATTTAAAAAAACTTTTGGCTTTTAATCATCCCTAAATCCACAATCCCTTGTTTGCACCTAAACAGGTGTACAAAGATACAGATGAGAAGAGTTGTATGAGATGGGCTAAAAATGCAAGGGAAAGGGTTTCTTAGCCCAAAGGTTTGTCTGCTTTTTCCAGTGTTAGCACCCAATCCACAGGAGAAACAGTCCTTTAGTACAAGCCTTATAACCACATGTCATTCAGAAAAGTTTAGCTAAGAATTAAACTAAACATCCAATTTGGCTGCATGTGTAATGAATAAATAAAGCCTTTTCCTTTCATGTACCCGTGCCAAAGTCAACAAGCTCTATTAGCTGATGAAACAATGCTGACGCCAAATAAAAATACCCCTGACCCATCAATATGGGCTGAGAGCTCGGCCCTGCATCAAAGAGTGTTGTCAGAACAAGAAATACTGTCTTGACACCTTTGGGGGGAGAAAAAAACTCCCATTCCTGCAGCAAGGTGGGTTCCCCGTGCTCTCACTGGGATGTCAAGGAGCAGCAAAACCATCCCATAATGACTGTCTGTTATGGACACCTCTCTTTGTTTCTGCTGGAATGATTTGGAAACCCCTTGAGCTGCAAGGAGCTGGGGCTTTGGTGTTTGTTTGCTCCCCACTGCACGCCCCGTGCGTGAATTCCCCACAAAACCTGAGGCATTTTCATCCTGTGTGCAAAATGCTGATGCTGGGAAGTGAAACTCCCAAAGGTCCCTGCTCGGTATCAAAGAAATGCTTCAGCATCTCAGAGCATCTCAACACCTGGGAGCAGCCTGCCAGCTGTGCCACCCTCCTCCTCCTCCTGCCCACGAGGGTGGGGAGGTGAAGGAATGCCACGTCTCCTCTCTGTCCCAGGGGATGGGCAGCTTGGCATTTCCCAGCTGGGCCTGCCCTGCAAACCCCTCTCCTTTGAAATCCACATTCAGCTGCTCCGAGCCATGCCCTGCCTCTGATCTTTGAGGTCTCACCCCTCCCTCGACATCCTTCCCTATTAGTTTTCAGTCGCACTTTCAGTTTCATTCAGGCTTTTATTTACTTATCCATCTGTCTTCCTGCTCCCACCTTTCCCCCTGCCCTGCCAGGAGGCAAAGTACAATTCATTTTTCAGGTGACCCAGCCAGGAAGGCATTGGTATGAATAGGAACAGGTTCAGAAACTGTGGAAAAAGCAAAACCCTTGACTTTAATAAGCAGCAAAACGCTTCCCAATCAGAAGGAAGTGGCCAAATGTGATCAGAATTGCTATAAAACACAAAGGACGTTCCTCCAAATAATTCCTGCCATCTCTTGAAGCCTCCTGGTGCAGAAGTCTTGTGAGCACTGCTGGAGCTGTGGCAGGGCAGGGTGTGATGCCGCGGGCTGTGCAGCCTCGCAGGACACACTCGCTGTCTGACAAGGTCCTGAGTGCCACCAGGACTCTGCTCCTGGCCTGCCCTGCCCGGGGACACGGTGCAGCTCATCCCTGTCTGCCTGCCTGGAGCACGGAGGGGTTGTTTGTGTGTCTTTAGTTTTGACTGCAGCTGTCTGAGCAGGGCAGGAGCCCCGCTGGGCTGCGCTTAATTCTGTGTAACTCGAGTTTAACTGCACGGACAGTCCCCTGCTGTTTTGAAAGACACCTAAGAAAGCAATACAGTCACCGTAAGAACTTCTCTGCTGGAAAGCCAGGCTCCTGTGAGAACCCACCTGTTACAAGGAAATAATTAAAAACCTGAAGAGAAAGGATAACAGGACACCAAAAGGCACCTGAGCACTGGCAGCGAGGAGCTGCGCTGGGTTTGTGCGAGCTGCTGGCCCTCCCCTCCCAGGGCTCGGAGGCTGTAACGATCCGTGGGCAGAAACATCGATTTTTGTCCAGCACTTCCTTAGTGCAGGGGGAGCAGAGCTGGGCTCACATCCTCTGCGGGCTCTGCTCCCTCTCCCTGCACATCAATAGGTGTCAAGCCACCCCCCAGCCCTGGCCATGGAAGGGACATTTCTTGCTGAGTCCACTTTCCACGGACCATACGGGGATGCTCAGCAGTAAGTGGCCACGTGGCATTCTCGGTGACAGAGGCAGTGAAAAAGTACCTTGGTGTCCTCCCAGCCCACACCACTCCAGTCCTAAGGCTGGACTGGAGCCTGGATCTCTCCTGCAGCCACCCCCTACTCTGTGCACTGGGTGCTGGCTGGGTTCCTTGCTCACCTCAGCCTGGCTGCTCCCCCTCTGCTTCATTTTTATAACTCTTTAGTCCTCTGGAGAGAACAGCACTGGTTAAAGATGAGGGGAAAAGGACCACGCAGACAGCGGTATTTCACAAATCCATCCTAAAAAAATCCTAAAAATAACTTGCGGTTTATTATTCCTGTTCTTAGCTCGATTCTTCACCAGGGAATTGCTCAGGGAATTGCCATGAGTGCTGCATTCTGTTTTGGGAGGCGAGAGCCGGGCCAGGCTGGGGTGAGGCAGGGACAGGAAGGCAAATCCATGTTTTGCATTTGTGTAGCTCTCATTCACGGCTGTACACGGTGTTTGCAAGTGTTACAGCACATGGCAGGCGTACGCTACAAGGAAATACTGCTGGTGCCCAGAATAGAAAGATTTCAGCTCAGTATTGACTGAATCAAGAGATGCAGAGAGCTGATTGCAGTTTGTGTCTTTTGCTTCTTTGGAGGTCAGTGGAGCTGAAGTCTGGAGCATCCTTAACCAGAGAGGGTTTGCAAAGAGCTGCAGTGAGTGTAGTGGGAAGCAATCTGGTGTTCTCCTTTTAATCCTCCTGCAGTCAGTCAGATAAACGGAAATACAGACTGACCCATCAATAGCTAACGGTTTTATTTGCAACTTTGGACTTAATCTTTCTTTTCAAATGATCTTTTAAAAGGAAAAGCTGCTACTTATCTGGAATTAGTGGAAATGCCTTCCCTGGTACTAATGAGAACCCTCAGGCTGGAGGGAACTGGGTAACTACTGGCAGCATGTTCTGATGATCATAAATGTTTGGCACCTCTTGGTGTCACAGGAGCATTTTTCTCTTGGATTTTCAAGAGGTGCCCTGACTGGCTGGGCCCAGAGTGGCAAACTGAGGCACGGGGTAGCACTGGCAATAGAAAATGGGACTCCCTGCACTGATTTAGAGAGGGAACTCGCTTTCTCATTATAATGAAAGAATAACATACTCCTAGAAGACACTCCTTGTGTCAGTGGAAACTCAGCCCAGTGGAAACCCTGCCAGCATGGGCTGGCTTGGTGTCTGTCCCTTAAATATGTGCCTGGACCACTCCTGGGGGACCTTTGGGAGGGGGCATTAATGTTTTGCTCTTTGCTTTGACCCCTGAACTCTTTAACAATGTAAAGCCTTGTGAATTATAAATCAAATGTTCCTGCTGAGCTTTGTGGTGCACGGAATGAAATGCAATGATTAATATTTAAGAGAAAATAAGTTAAAGATTTTAACTACAAGGGCAAATGTCTATCCACAGAACTCTTTCATGTGGAGGCTTGAAGAGAGGAAGAACCACATTTTCAGGGGCTTTAGTGAAGTTTGTGGCTGTCAGACCAACCACCAGAGCTGTGGGTGTGCAGGGGACAAACTCCCCAGCCCTGCCCTTCATGCTGACTCGAACTGAGACCATCTGCCCACATCCTATAAAATCCCAGCAGTGCTGCAGCAGCCCTTTGGGATGGGACTGGCGAGCACACCCCACACTTTAGCAAGTAGAGGAGCAGCTCAGCAGGGGCAGAGCTTTCCCAAATTCCAGGACTTGCTCAGCCCTCCCTGGCTCCTCCTGGCCCTCCCCTCAGCATGCCAGCCCCATCCCTGCTGCAGTTCTGGCACAGCCCTGGGATGGGCAGGGTGCCCTCTCCCTGCCCTGCACACTGACAGCTCCAGGCCACCGTGGCCACCCTGACCCAGAACATCCTTCCAGTGGCACCTGGGCTGGACACTGCCTCCAGCCACCAGCAGAGCCTGTCCTAAGCCAGCAAACAAGGGGGGAAACACTTACATGGGTGCAGAACCTCTCCGGAGGGTCCCCACAAGTGATTCCTGCCGGGTCCACCCGCACGGTCACGTAATCCTTCATCCGCATGGCCTTGGGCTGGCAAGCGTAAAACTCCCATGAGGGGCCATCGTCCGTGGTCACCCAGGACTTGCAAATGTCATACTGTCCCATGGCCAGGGGGACACAGTGCACGAGGAGGGCAGCCAGGTAGAGCATGGCAGCTGCGGCCAAGCGCGGGGTCCCTGGGCGAGGGCAGTGCCGAGAGTCCCGAGGAAGGCAGCTACGGGGCTAGGGGTGGCTCTCGGGATCAGCATGGAAACTCCTCATCTAAAAATGCTCCAGTCGAAGGAGAGCCACACAGGAACAGGGATGATCCCGCTCCGCACGCTCTACCTGGACGTGGAAAGTTCCTCTTGGCACAGAAGCCAACTTTGCAATTCACTCGATTGGGAAAGTTTTGGCCAGAGTTGCTGATCAGTGGTCAAAAGTCTTCCTTAACCTCATTTTTCCCCCTTTTTATTGTACGAAAGGTCTTCCAAATCAGCATGAAAATATCTAGAGGTGACTCCAGTCAATCAATACGAAGATCAAGTTCTGAGTTGCTGATGAAATTTGATAGGAGTAAATTGGAGAGGCCGTGAGATGGTGCTGGATCAGGTTTTCCTCAACCTTCTGGTCTGCTCCAAATGCGTGGCTGTGGAAAGTGCCTTAAGCTGTGTCTGTCTTAATTATTAGGGTGTTAGAACATTAGCACATAAAATAAATAGAGCATCTGGTCATCAGTACAACTCTGACAAGAGAGACTTCTTGGAGCTAAAATTCCTTTTTCCCAAAGGACAGTTGTGCCAGCGAGAGCAGGAAGGGTGCCCAGATCCGTGGTGGTCCCAGCAGGTGCTGGGTGGTCACTGGGGTGACTGGGGCAGGGCTGGCCTTGGCTTCTCCTGCTGTGTCCTGTGGTGGTGGCGAGGATTCCCGTCCAATTCTGTCTTTTGGCAGCGGAGCACCAAGTTCCCAAAGGCTTCAGCTGCAATCCATGGGGCTACCTGAGATCTCCTCTCTCTTTCATGGTCAGGGCAAAGGCAGAGCTCATCAGCAGGAGGGACCTGCAAGAAATTGGAAGACAGATTAGGTGGGAGCAAGGGGGGACAGTTGGAGCAAGAAAAACAGGGGTTCCTCAAGAGGCAGAGCCCTCAGCTGGGCTTGCCAAGCCACCAGACAGGTTTTTGTAACAGGGAGATATACAACTTTAATAAAAAGCAATCCATAGTAAGATGCTTATGGCTTTGCTGCTGTCTGGGAGAAGGGAAGGAGCGCTGCCCAATTTAAGGTATCTGCTTTGCAACAGCAGCTGGACAACAGGAGCTCTAATGGCTCTTCAAATAATATCAAGAAGCATCTATGGGTCATTAGAAGATGGGGAATATGCAGACAGAGAAGGGACAGACAGACAAATTGATAGTTCTAAAAAGATAAGCAAATAAATAAGACAGCTGGGGAGACAGATACATTGTCCAGCATCCCCACATATGATTTATCTGAACAATAACATTTAATAAAAAACAATTTAAAGTCCTAATAACATTTAGGTTCACCTAATACAAAGAGCAATGACCTTCCCAGTATTCATTTCAGGTTAGAACAACATTTCTGCAATTTTGTTGTCTTTCCAGTAGAGCTATAAAAATTGTAAGTAATTACAAAACAAAATGACAAAGAACCGAAGCAGGGAGGGGGAAAATGTCAAACCCTCTCTCAGGATTAGATTCAGGAGGGAGATTTCGTCTGAGAAGGTGGGAGGCACATATCCAGAACAGAAATTTACCTTTGGATAATTCCCTTTCTATTTCTTTCCCCAACTTTTCTTTCACAATTGAGGCATATCTGCTTCAACAGCATGCTTAGCATTTCCTTTCTCATGAAGCTCAGTTACTAAGGCTCAGAAACTCCAGGTTAACAGATGCACTGATCCGTGTTCGGGGGCTCTGCTACCATCTCCCTTTCCCCCCTTTTTGCTTGAAAGATTGCTGATTGAGATGAATGAGTTCAGAAAAGAGAAGCTGTCTCTCATGCTCCATTGCCAGCTCGCAGCCTGCTATAGCTGCGTTGGACCTGAATAAACTCCCAGAAAAAGAATAGACTGGCTGCTATTTTTATATTATGAGTAAATGTAGTAAAAATAATAAGCCAGTGTGACACAGTGTTTATAAGTCCTACTTACATCAGAGCTGTCTTTTCAGTTATAACAAGTCAGTTCCTAATTATTACATCAAACTGGTCATTGCCAAGTGCCTGATAACAGCAGAGAGTGAGAGACTCTGGTATTGTGTAGAAAACAAGCAGGGTAGTTTTAATGAGGACTCCAGTGCTGTTAAGTTTATGGATCTATTTTCACAGCCTCAACAATTATATCTTGCACTTGAATGGCTGTCAGGGAAAAACCCAGGTAGAAAGGATCTATAATATCTATTAGTGTCTTGTTATGCCGGCTAAATGTCACAGACTCCCAGGGAAGTGAAAATTTGCTGGAAAAAATGTATTTTCTGTCGGTCCATTAGCCAGGTAAGAGGGTTTGGGGTGAACTCTGTGGCTCAACACCCACTTAGCCAGTTCAGTCTCTTTGCAGAAAGAGTTGGAGTGTTTCTCGGGAATGAGCCAACATACTGCAAACGGGGCAGAGAGGCTCCCCAGATTAAAGGTTTCACCCTGCTTGATTAAGTTTAGTTCTTAGAAGATAAATCTTCGCCTGATATTATTAAGAAACTGCAGTTCATGGGAACAAATAGAATCAATGCTCTTTGTTCTCTTTGAAGAGTACTCAGCACTCACTGGGGACTGATAGCCGGAGTATTAAAAACACAAAATTAGATTGTGTCTTGACTTAGCTGGCTCCGGGTTTTTTTTTCTTATTATTGGATTAACACCCTATTGAAATAAAGGGACAACGCTGAGCAACAACTGAGCTCCTCTCGGATTAAGAGCAGAAAGTAAACTCAATGAAGGAGTTTTTAATTTTCTCTCAGAAGTGTTGCTCTCCCCATGAACTCCCGGCTCTCCCCCCGCGCTCACGGAGCGGGAGTTGCTCTCCTCTTTCCCACGCTGAGCATCCCTTCCCCGCGCCCTGGGCAGGGATGCCGGGGACAGCGGTGCCGGGGACAGCGGTGCCGGGGACAGCGGTGCCGGGGACAGGGATGCCGGGGACAGCGGTGCCGGGGACAGCGATGTCGGGGACAGCGGTGTCGGGGACAGCGATGTCGGGGACAGCGATGTCGGGGACAGCGGTGTCGGGGACAGCGGTGCCGGGGACAGCGGTGCCGGGGACAGCGGTGCCGGGGACAGCGGTGCCGGGGACAGCGCGGGGGGCCGGGAGCCCGAACCCCGCGGCAGCGCTGCGCGGCTCCCAGCTGCGAACCTGGAAATCCCACTCGCATCCCGCCGCTCTCCCTGATGGATTCGCGGTTCCCGGCAAAACCCGATGCCGCTCCCGCTCCGCCCCGTCCTCCCCTCGCTTTCTTTTACACTAAAGGACTTTGGGGGGGCTGCACGGGCTGCGGAGGGAATCGGCGGAGCGGGGGGAGCCGGCGCCCTGCGCTGGGGGCTTCCCAAACTCCGAAGTGCGAAAATAAACCCGACATCCCGCGGCGGGGAGACGGGGATGTTCCGAGGAGGGGGACAGCGAGCGGGACACCCCAGGAAAGCGTGGGAAGAGCTCGGGAGGCTCGGGGGACACGCAGCGTGCGGGGCTGGGGCAGATGCCGGCGCCGCCCGCCCCCGCTCCGGCCCCGCTTTCCCCCCATCCCCGGCGCCGCGCATCCTTACCGGGAGGGAGCTCTGCGGCGCGGGGCTCCCGGCGGAGCAGCCAACTTCGGGGCCGGGGGAACCCCCAAAACACACCCCCCAGCCCTGCCCTGCCCTGCCCTGCCCTGCCCAGCCCTGCCCTGCCCAGCGCGGCGGGCAGGCGCTGCGCCGCCGGCCCCCAAGGGCAGATGGCCGGGGGAGCTTTGTGCAATCCCGGCTCCCCTCGCAAGTTAATGCCGAGGCTGAAATCCCTTTTGCTCTCACTTTCAATCACAATCGGAGCTTTTATCTCCGTGCCTGATCCCGGCTGCGTAACTTCCTCTGTGCAGCTTTAGCACACACCATCCCACCGGCGGCAATGGGCTTCTTAAAGGTGCAGGAGGAAATGCAGGGGGGGAGGAGGAGGAGGGAGGGAAAACCACCCGAGGAAGAGGAGGCTGCGAGCGGGAGCCTTCAGCCCCGGCGGCCCCGCGGCTCCCGGTGCAGCATCCGCGCCGTCCCGCTGCCCCCGGCTGGATAACGGCAGCCGGGAATGCCGCTCCTCGGGGCTTCTCTGTTATTTTTTTTTTCCTTTAAGAGCTTAAAAAAAAAAAAAAAAATTAAAATCATGAGCTCATGTTTGCTCGAGAGAGAGAAAAAAAAAAAATCTCCAGTCACGAGGGCTTCCCCACACGTGTAAGTCCTCGCTTGGTGTGCCCTGAATATTTTGGGGAGGCTTCTGCTGGTGAAGATGCTGTAAATGAGGCTGCGTGCGTGTGTGTTGGGGGAAGAGGGGGTGGTTGGAATTAATAGGATAAACAAAGCAGGAACTCGGAGATGGGGAAATCAGATGGCTGGGAAATGCTTGGTACTGGTTAGGAATGTGCTGTGAGGTTTAACCAAAGCAGGTTTTGCTGTGGAGAGGTGGGGGATGGACATGCTGGACTCTGAGGTGTGACAGCACCTTCCAGCACGGGGCTGGAGAAGCAGCTGGGGTTGCTTAGGTCAACTCTGTTGTGTCCATGCTGAGGGGCAGAGGAGACTCCAGTTGTGGAAAAGGTGGATAAAACTATGGCAGGTAAAGGTCCAAGTTTTTCCTGCACCAGGCAGCTGCTGAAGACAGAAGTCCTGAGCAGCGACAGGTTTTTGACACATGGATAAATGACAGTTCACGGATAAATGACAGTTCATTTATGGGGAGGAAATCCAAAGAATCACCACTGCCTCCTATGTATACAACCACCAAAAAACAACTGCTCCTTCCTAACAAAGAATTCAATAATTTCTAAGTCAGAAAATACATTGTCCGTCTTGCACGTGGTTTGAACCTCGTGCACTCAGTATTTTGTTATATGGTTTCCTTTGACCCACTGCCCTGAGGTCTCTGGGTGGCCTCTCCCATACAAGAGTCCCTGGAAAATCCACAACTCATCCTACAACCAGACAGAGGTGATTTAGAGCTCTTCTGGGAAACGTTTCCCATATTCTGGAGCATAAGTGAGATTTATGAAATGCTGGCATTGTGTCTTGACTGTGGCCCAGCCAAAACGCGATGCTGATGCACAGGGTGGTCTTTACCTGCAAGGATATCTTTGATTCTGGCTCAGTTTCCACTCCAGGACACGGTCTGATACTTTCCACATGGTAACTTCTTCTGTAAACACTTATTTTACAGCAGCAGGATAGCTTAAGTGAGAAGCACTGGCTGGGAATCCAGGGCTGGCTAATATTCCTGGATTTCACTTTGTGCCTTTAGGTCTGCTCTGTAGTAATGACTCCCCTGGAAATTCCCCACGTCTCACTTATTACTTCTTTATTAGTTATTATGGTACAGTAACAGGATAAAACGGAGTTGGTATTTCATTTTCATTCTCCCTAATAGCCACGGCAAAGACCAAGTGGCGTGCTGATTATTGACATCAGAGTTAAGTGATATGCACGCATCATTAGGTTTCAATTGGAAAGAATAACAGCACAGTGTGAGCCGTCACACTTCTAAACTCCGTGGCATTTAAGGAAAAACCAAAGTCGTTTTTCACAGCCCTGCTAGCTCAAAAGATCACAAGCTGGCAATAATGCTTGTACACACACAGGTAAAAGGCGCTAGCTCCAGGCTAAGCACGGGAATTTACCAATGAGCGCAACCCCCCAGAGAGGCTGGCAACAGCTGTGGGGTTTGTCCAAGGTTACACCGCGATTCTGGAGATCCTTGGAGGATGGGAAATCACCCAGCTCCTCGCAGGTCTGGCTCTGAAGGTCCTGATGTGGGAAGGAGAGGGATTGTGTGTGGCACTCACAGACCCGGGAGCCTGAAAGAAGCAGCAAAGCAGCAGCAGTGATGCTGTCACAGGCTGGAGGCAATGGGGAAGAGTTGGAGCCATTGTTTCATTTTAGACCATTTGCATTCTTTCACCCAAGCACGTTTTGCAAACACTTAATGTTGGGTATAGTTTTCTTCTGTGGGGAGGAAAAATGGATTCCTTGAGGGGACATCTCTGCTCCCTCCCTCGTGCTGAGCGCTGCCTCCTCACACGAGAGAGCGTGGTTGAAAATCAATGGGTCTGCATGGAGACTTAATTACTCCAGCATAGGCAGGGGTGGAGAATAAGGCCCTTAATATTTAATACAGCCTCTGCTCCCTGAGGGATCCCCAGGGCTCAAGGGCCAAATGTAAGCCCATTAAAATCAGGTGTAATTCTATTGACATATGTGGGCTCGCACTTGTTTATACCAGGGCTATATCTGGCTCCCTAAATGGCAAATGGTGCTTTTGATATGCTTGGGAGAAGAGGGAAGTGTTTTCCCAGCTTGGGATGATAGTGGATGCCCTGGAACAACAGAAGGTAAATGTGACACCTGGCAGTCCCCGCTCACTAACACCTCAGCTGAGCTGAGCCCGCTGAGAGTGACCCGAGATCACTGCCAGAATAATAACCAGGCTTATAAAGGATATTTCATTTGAGGATACCTATTTGCTGTATCCCCTATAACAGCAATGCATTCTTTTTATGCTCCTTATCTAGCAGTGTGCGGCCAAGGATATCAAAGTGCCTCCTGCAAGTGAGTAAGCATTTTATTAGGTGGGAACACACGGCTTGGAAATGTGCCTCCAAGCCCTGGAGCAGGCAAGAAACCCCTTTGTGAGGGGTGATACCTGCCAAGCACAGCTCTACCCAAACCTTGCTCCAGTGGTAGCTTTCTCCAGCCCACCAGCACCTCTGGGGAAAAGTTTGCCAGGAAAAGAGAGGAAGTGACTTAAAGTTGCTTTTGTTTGGGGTGTTACAGATGATGGAGGCAAAGGCTGCTTGAACCTCGCACTTCCAGGGGGGATTTGTCTCATCTCACCACCCTTGTACTGCCCTTTTGTTCTCAGCAAGCTGAATGTGAAGAAAGCTCCCAGCTTGATCAGGATGGGAAGGTTTGTGCTTCCCAGCTCCTCGTGCTTGGTGCAAAGACAGAATCACGGAGTTTTAGAAAGCGGAGAGGCATAATATTTTGTAGTTAGGAGAAATTATGGAAAACCCACACAAAGCCTGAGAAACTGAGCTCTGGCACACGCAGGCCGGGAGGGTGGGTGGGGGACATTTATTTCCTGGTGGGTGGGGGACATTTATTTCTTCATCCTCCTGCCCAGGCTGCCCTGGCCTCGGGGCAGACCCTGCCCTGCTGGGAGGCACGCACAGACCCGGGGAGGAGGAGGAGGAAGAGCAGAATGCTTCAGTCCCTGGAGTACTCCACGTTTTTCTTCCTTTGTGAAAGCTACTGGGGAAATGGCAGAGAGCATCTGCTCTGGGAGGGGAGGCTTCCCCGGCTGCCTCCTCCCACCCTCCCGCACAAGACCTCGGGATGCATTTTCTGCAGCTCAGCCGCTTTCGCAGGGCCCTGAGTGAATTTTGCCCTCCCTGATTAGATAACCAAAGGAGCAGTGACTGTACTCTCCAGAGAGAAGATGCTGTCTCTTCCCTGCCAGAAGGACAGCTGGAGGGAGGGTGGGATTTTCAGCATGCAAGCACTTAGCCAGATCAAGGAAATGGGATGCAAAGCATTTTAGGCTAAGAAAGGTTGTTGTGCAGGGAAACATGAGGCTGCTGTTCTGTTCGGGAGATAACGCTTCTCAAAACGCTCCTGCGTGCCAAACTGCAAGCCTCGACTACAGCAGGTCATTGCCTCTTTAAGGAAAACAAGCATGACAAGTCAGAAAAAAAACCCCATCACTGTCTGAGCTGAAAAACTTTGATCATTTAAATATTATTGATGCGCATTAACCCCAGCAGAGATGGGCTGGGTGATGGGAAGTGCTTCACCTTGACACAGGGAAAATATGTTGCTTTCTGCTGCCTTGTCTTTTGTTTCATATATCAAACAGGAGCCCAGCCAAGTGAATCAGCTCAGGAAGCATTTTGGATGTATTTGATTTTTTGGGGAAGGTAGAGCTTTCCTCCTCTTTACCAGCTGTGGGGGTGTAAGCATGGATAAAAACAGGAGGACTGTTTAAAGGAGGGATCTATAATTAACAACCCCTCAGAAGGGGAACTTTCCTTTTAACTTACTATTAAAGTGGAAGTGTTTGGAGAATATACAGTTTTGGCTCAGGGGATCTCCTCTGTATCCTTGGCTGAGCCCTGTGAATTCCTCTAATTCCTGCCTCAGAGAGTGTCTGGCTTTAAAAACAACTCCTGCTACCCCTTGGAGGACTCACCTCAATCCCTGGGTGGATTCCCGTGCTCAAGGAGGGCAGCAGAGGGAGAGGAGCTCCCTTCCCAGGGCAGGGCTGTGCTCCCCCAGCAGCCCTGAGCCCTGGCCTGGCAGGAGATGCCTTCCACAAAAGCTTTTTCACCTGAGGAAGGAACGTGTCACTTCTAATGGAGCTGACAGCAGCAGGGAGGGGCTTCAGATTAGTGGCTGAAGAACACACTTGTAATGAGTGAAGTAATTGAATAAATGCTGACAATTTGATGTGGAAAACGCATAATCAGCTGGCTGCGGAAGGTTGACTTGTTCTTTTTTCCTTCTTTCCTTAGCACTGGGATAAACATATTCATCCTCTCCCAAGCAGGTGATGTGTTCAGCAGCACAGAACCAGCAGACCCATGCACATGTCCCCCTCCCAGGCACACATGTGCTGATTCCCAGATAGCTGACCCAGTTCTGCTAAGATGCTATTAAGAAATACATGTGTAATAAATCTCAACACTGTAATATTTTCTTGGGTCATGTGCTGGTTGAACACTCCCTTCAGTCATTTGCTGGCTCCCAAATCACAATCCCTGTGCCCCTGCTAGAGAAAAAGGTGCCAGTCGTGGGTAGTGACAAATGAGGCCCAGCCCAGGTGGCACCAAGAGCTGATCCTGCACTAATAACTGTGATTTCAACTGGCTTTTCAGATCCCAGCACAGCTAATAAACTGTGGGAGCAAACAGCAGAGCTGACATAATCCAAAGCAGTGACTTTCCCTACCCAACCACCATCTCAGCTCTGTGCAGATGGAAGCTCAGTGAAT